TGAAATCAGTCAAAAGAAAAAGAGATTTATCAAAGAATTAATGCAAATACACACGACAGATAATCTGTATGTGAATGCGGATCGTTATTCGTCAGGTTAATTTAACACATGTCTATATATATGCATTTAAATTTCTTGTTTTCTAATGTTTTTAAGAGAAGTTTTGGTCACAATATAAAAAGAATATTTTTCACATGAATTAGTTTGAATTCAAATAAAAAAAATTCTGTAATGTTTATATATTCATATGACTGGTTGAACTATCCATGAATCTATATAACCGTCATTTGCTATTAGCATTCTCAATTTATTGATTTGTGCCCAGGTTCAAACCTTGATTTATTTTTTTTTAAATCGGAATATTCAAAGACTATCTCTGAATACCGATGAGATTATGAGCGAAAGATTCAGAATTCCTGTTATAATTTGTTTTTATTGATTTTTATATGAATATTACTATGACCTATATTAACTACATAGAAAAAGTATTCATAGCTCTTCAAATTACATTTTTTCTAATATCTTCTAGGAAAACTTGAATCCACCATGCACATGGTAAAAGGCGTGAGAGTAGAACACTATTTAATTTGTCTCCCACATACGTTTAGTAGATCAAGTTTACCACAAACTCATGAATTATATATATATGAGTATGAGTATGTAAACAGAAAAGGGGGGTAAGGAATAATTAAATAGTCTCTAGCTAATACAGTATATTTTAAGTTTTTAACTGTCAGTTTTTTGGCGTTACTATAATTTTTTTAACAGATAGGCCAGCTAAATCCAGCCAAGATTAATCCCTTTTGTCTGGACAATTAATTTAACAACCAAAATTAGTTTAAGAAAAATAATTGTGAGAGAAATTATTATATTTTCCATTTTATTAGTGTATTACTTAAGAGCAGTGTTAAAAAAAAAATAGTTTAAACGAATTTTCTTCTGTAGCAACTACACGCAAATATGTTATAAACTTTTATCTTAGCATGCCCATTGCAAGTTACTAGCTTAGTGATCTAATCAAATCTATTATTGAATTCTAAAATCGTAATGTAAAATTTGCAAAATCATTTCTGGCTTGAACAAATAGAGTGGTTTTGAAAATGTTAATGATATGATATGCATTGTTGTAATATGTAAAAATACATCTTGATTTTCTATACATATAAAGAATTTGCTGTATAATTTTTATTGGTTAATGTACGGAGATTACTGAAGTAGTGGCAACATGCTTTGCTTTTGTTAATCTTTTGGAGAGATTTAAATGATTATAATAAATATGTACAGTTAACAAATATTACAAGAATTTTGCTTTAAGTTTAAAAAGTAGAGTTAAACATCTTTAACTTGAAACTTGTCTGCTAATTCAACGGAAAACTACAAATTCATTCCAGTTTTGCATGTCAGACACTGTCGTTTTGTCAGTAAGCGACCAACTAATCACACTAATTATTTTATAACGACCAGCTAAAACCATAACTAAAGTATCCCAATATACTTATGTCTTTTTGTTTATCAATTCAATAAAGCCAATTCCATATTTTAACCAAATTAAAACTTTATTCTATTTTTAGTTCAGATAATTTTTCTATTTTTGTAGGTACATTCTGTTTAGTTTATTTAGATTTAAAACTCATAAATTTAAGCTGGTAATATTTTAAAAATAAAATTGAGCTCTCTTTTGTTTTTTTCTGATAATTGTAATTAATTTTCTCAAATGTGAACAAGTGACTCACACAGTATGTTAACAATGATTGGTCGTGTAGCTAAACCACGTGGCTTTTTCTTTTCTAAATACCTTTTATTTTTCCTTTTCGTCACATAATGGGTTATATAATGTCAGACCGTACATTTTCCTGTGTGGACACGCGATTTATGTTTGGCGACGGACACTTTCATGCATCTACTATTAGTAATTTTAAACTTTTAATTATAAAATTTGATTTATTAAGTAAAATGGTAAACGATATTAGAAAACCTTTAAAAAGAGAAAAAGAAAGGAGTTTACTGAAAATAGTACAGAGACAGCTAATACAAGAACTGAAGCAACGAATCTATTGTCTCTCCTTGTACCAGGCAAACTAACGTGCTTTCCATTCACC